ATCATCATCATCCACCACCACCATCATCACCACCATCACCACCACCATCATCACCACCACCATCATCACCACCATCATCATCACCATCATCATCATCACCATCATCACCACCACCACCATCATCACCATCATCACCATCATCACCACCACCATTCCCACCACCATCATCACCATCATCATCACCACCACCACCACCATCATCATCATCACCACCATCACCACCACCATCATCATCACCACTACCACCATCATCATCATCACCATCATAACAACCCGTATTTCTTTGTTTCTTTAGTAGAGGTATCCTAGCAATGGGTCAGCGTAGTACAGGTGTAAGCCTACCACCAGCTGGTAATATCGGTGCCCAAGCTGCATTTAATTCTCTTGGTTCAAAACCTTCAAGCCGAGCACCTGGTCTACCTGTATCAACTATAGGAAGGTAACAACTTTCTTCTTTGACTTGTTTTGTTCTTTGACTTGTTTGAAGCAGCCTTTAGTCCTGCTCAAATTCCTCTGGTTTCATGAGTTCCGTTGTGAGACCGATTAGTACGGTCCTGGATTTTATATCCCATGTGAAATAAGTGTTACAGTGCGTCTACTGTAAGTGGAGCCACTTAGAGAACACTAACCAATCACATTGCAGAACAGAAAGTGAAAAAATCAACAAACGGCGCATTAGCCAATCAGCATTAGGCCAAAAACAATTCGAACAAATAAACGAATGTCAAACGGTAAAAATAGACATGTAAAAGTAAACATTGCAGTTAATGGCTTTCTGAATCTTTCTTTTGATTGGACGAGCTTTAGTTTGATTAGATTTTTCTTTCTGTTCTGCAATGCGATTGGTTAGTGTTCTCTAAGTGGCCCCACTTACAGTAGACGCACTGTAAAATGATTAGAAATCGCTACTCAAAAGAGAATTTTTCTGCGTTATCGAAACACCGATATCTTGTTGATTTCCGTTGAAAATTTTTTAATTCTCTATCTAGAAGTTCACCAGGAACTATAGCTCAACAGCAACAGCAGCGTTCATTTCTTGGCAGGTATTCATCACAATGTATTACAGGAAAACTGCAGTAATCTATATTGTTATACAGGGTGTCTCAAAAAAAAAGCTATGGGAATTCAACAGGCTGTTGTGCACCATAAACTTAGTTAAACAATTCAATTTTTACACATGAGGAAAGAGCTGTTATTTAGCTTTTCTATGATACCTTTCGTAAACCGTAACGATGCGAAATGGCCACATACTCGTCAAATGAAAATTGTCGGTCGAAATCACATTCTTCCACCGTTGGGAATTAATTATGCAGAGTTAATCGATCCAAAAGCAACGCGAGCCTGCTGCCGAAGGTATTTGTTTCGTAAAACGTTTTGATTACGAATGTTCTCTGTTCAGTGGTTAATTGAACCATGTTTAAAGGCAGTAATGACGTTCTTATTGTTTTACTAATACGAAGGTTGAAGAGTTGAGCTCATTTTAGGTAATTTAACATTCAACTTTAATTCCCTCTTGGGAATTGACCATTTGCGTAATAGACTCAATTTTGATCTCAACAAAAATTTCATTACAGCTTGAAGGAGCATCACAAAATTAGTAATATTCCAAAGTTTCGTTGCAAAATGTTGTAAAATGCGGAAAATATAGCCTTGCGAAATTTGCAATTTTCAGTCATTTTAGATTACAAACCGGAAATTGACATTTTGCAACGAAACTTTGGAATATTACTAATTTTGTGATGCTCCTTCAAGCTGTGATGAAATTTTTGTCTAGACTTGTTTAGTTCAAAATTTAGTCTATTACGCAAATGGTCAATTGGTCAAAATAAAATGCATCTGCGAAATCAATTCAAATTGGTTATTTCAATTAACCAATCTGTTTTGCACTGCAAGTGTGATGGTGATGTCACTTGAACGTATGTGGGAAAATTTGGAGATTTTGGGTAGTAGATGGGTATAGTAGTTAATGATGCGCGACGAAAGCATGTCTTATTTACAAAATAGATCAGTTATAATTGCTATAAAGGTCGCTATGAGACAGTTTATGGGATATATACGGATATACCGCCGAAATACCGAGTTCTGATTGGCTGAGTGCATGTGGTCATGGTCTAAATATATATATCTAATGTTCTAATTTGTTTTACAAATACCTAAACCCAATATTATGGTATGTTTATATAAGCATGCATGAAACCAAACATATTTATACAGCCATGCAAGCTACTGCAAGTGAATTATATATAGAAGGTTCTGCGTTATGTCTTACAAATATCTAAACCCAACATTTTAGGTTTATATATCTATACAGAACATGACACTGTAGCTTACGTGTGCGTTTATTCGAGGATCTAATATTGTCAACCAAATATTATGCAAAATAAAGTTGATGTATCAGCAATATTTATACTATTGTTCAGTCGAACGAAGCAATTCCCAGCCCGCTAGGATATACTATCTCTTTAAAACAATCACTGACAATCAAATATTACTGACAATCAAATATTTAAAATAATCCCTCAGAATCAAATATTTCGTATTGTGTCGACACTGAGACTCCGTATATACAAGGAGAGGGTAGGCCTAAATTCAAAAGCGAAGCAAAATGTACACGGTTTCACTCTGCGTTCACACGGCGCGCATGAAACCACACAAATTACAGCCAAGCTAATACAACGAATTCCCGTGTGAACAAGTAGAACACGACTAATTTGGGTGCGATTAGGAAATTAATAACTTTAGTTTATTGTAAAAATGTTCAAAAACTTACCAGGGGTTGTCGGAGCAAAAGTCTGTATATCAAGATAGTAATTAGTTAATAATTTATTTATATATTAGCTGTGGAAAAA